CATAATAAGTAAATATCATTATCATCACCATCATTATAAGTATCATCATCATTATCAGGATCATCGTCATTATCATTACCATAGATATCATTATTATCAATACCATCACCATTAGTATCATTATCACCTTTACCACCATTATAATTTTCATTACCATCATCATTTTATTAGCATCATCATTTTTATTACATCATTATCATTTCCATAAACATTGCCTTCATTACTAACAGTATCATGATTAACACTTTAAACATTAAAATGTTAAATATAATAAGCATTCGAAATTAAATTATTTTTTTCGAAAAGATCTATTTTTCCTGTGACCTGACCTGATTAATGTGAAGTCAGCTGAAAACAAACATTAAGCAACACCAAATAACAAAACCCCATATAAATGACTTTTTCATGCAACAATTAGCTCAAATATTGATAATGAACTTTGTTGTGTTTTTATAATTTCATGTGGTAGAGTGTAGGTGGTTAAAATCGGAGCAAAATTTGATTATTTGACAACTCGACTCGCAAAGGTCGATGTTGCCATATCGTTTTCCGGGTTTCTCTCACGTCAAGGGGTTTTGTCACTAATATTTATGATTATTCTTGTTTGTACTTATGTTTATACTTTTATTTATTCTTTTATTTATACTTTTATTATACTTTATTTATATTTTATTTTATCTTTTATTTATACTTTTATTTATACTTTTATTTATACTTTTATTTATACTTTTATTTATACTTTTATTTATTTACTTCTTTTATTTATACTTTTATTTATACTTATTTATTTTTATTTATACTTATATTATAATTATACTTATAATTATACTTTTATTTTATACTTATTTATACTTTTATTTATTACTTATACATTATTTATTTATTTATTTATACTTTAATTACTTTTAATTATACTTTATTTTTATTTTTTTATTATTTATTTATTTATATATTATTTTATATTTATTATTTTATTATTTTTTATTATTATTAATTTTATTTTTATTATTGTATTATTTACTTATTATTTATTATTTTACTTATTATTATTTTATTATTTTACTTATTTTATTTTATTATTTTATTATTATTATTATTATTATATATTATTTAGTTTTATTTATTATTTATTTAGTTAGTTTATTTATTCATTTAGTTTTATTTATTATTATTAGTTTTTTATTTTATTTTAGTTTTATTTATTATTATTATTAGTTTTATTTATGTTGTTTTTATTTATTATTTATTTATTTATTATTTATTTATTTAGCTAGTTTTTATTTATTTAGCTAGTTTAGCTATTTTATTTAGCTAGTTTATTTATTCATTTATTTTATTTATTATTATTTTATTTATTTAGTTTTTATGATTATTCTTATTATTTGCATATCGAATCATCAAAATTCCATGCACTGGTGGCAGCAATACATATACCTTTCTTAGATTGTTGTTAATTTTTCCAGGATTTTCTGAAAAGGTTCGTTCTTAAAATTTACTGGAAACAAAGTCACTTATTCTCATTTAGTTGCTCTTACTTTTATCATCATTTATCTCTCTATATTTCTCACTTTCTTCTTTCGCCTTATATTTCTAAATTTTTTGTTTCGTCTCATATTTCTCACTTTTTTATTTCGCATTATATTTCTCATTTTTCTCTTTACCTTTATGTCTCTTCTTGATACAATACATTTTTTCAATAGTAGACGATTAATATAATGAAATCACATAATAATCATCTACTCTGACGGTTAACTAATTCAAAATCACCAGTAAGACCGAAATAGATCGATTTTTTAATTACCCAAATATTATATACAGAAACCATCCTCTCAGCGAGCAAATTTTGATTGATATGAATTAAAATTACTAAGAAATTAGGAAATCGTCACGAACTTAACATTCGTGTGACGAATAAATCAGATTTTGTTCAAGACACAGGTATATTATATATTAATTAGTTATTAATGAAACAAAAAGAAATTATTAAAAATATATGTATTCAAGCTCAAAATTTTGGCCACGGAACAATAATCACGGATAACCTCAATATAATTCTCCTGGCCATACATGACCCTAAAGGATCTGGTGTGACCTTTGACCTGTGACCTTACACTTCTGATGTTATGTTGGAATCTAATTATAATACCTCTTCTTACCGTTCTTCATTCCATTTACATTTATTTTTATCATTATTATTAATAGTATTTTATTATTATTATTATTGTTATTGTTGTCATTATCATTATTATTATTATCATCATCATCATCATCATCATCATCATCATCATCATCATCATCATTATCATCATCATCATCATCATCATCATTAATCATTATTATTACTTTATTACTATATTACTATTATTACTATTATCTAGCTATTATTACTATTATTACTATTATTACTATTATTATATTTATTACTATTATTACTATTATTACTATTATTACTATTATTACTATTATTATTTACTATTATTACTATTATTATTACTATTAT